GCTCTTACTTATTGACCGGCTCCTGCCTGGCTGTTTCACAAGAACTGCAAGGCAGAGTGCAAGTGTGGAGATGAATGCAGACACTGATAATATCTATTACAGGACCTAATCCATTTCAGCCCCTTAATTCTTCATACTTGGGACTTTCTCAAGCAACATGCGGGCAAAAATATATTCAGTGACCACACTCAGTACTATATTTAAGATTCTGCATCAAATAACTGATAATTCAAAATTTACATTAGGGTATGTTCATTTTCCTTTGAAATGGAGAATTTTCTAAAAACAACAGTAGTTAGTTCAGTTCAGTCACTCAGTTGTGTCTGACTCTGCAGCCCCATGGACTGCAGCACGCCAGGCCTCCCTGTCCATCACCAACTCCCAGAGTTGACTCAAACTCATGTCCACTGAGTCGGTGATGCCACCCAACCATCTCATCCTCTGTCATCCCCTTCTCCTCCTGCCTTCAATCTTTCCCAACATCAGGGTCTTTTCAAATGAGTCAGTTCTTCGCATCAGGTGGCCAAAGTATTGGAGTTTCAGCTTCAGCATCAGTCCTTCCAATCAATATTCAGGACTGATTTCCTTTAGGATGGACTGGCTGGATCTCCTTGCAGTCCAAGGGACCCTCAAGAGTCTTCTCCAACACCACAGTTCAAAAGCATCCATTTTTCAGTGCTCAGCTTTCTTCACAGTCTAACTCTCACATTCATACATGACTATCGGAAAAACCATAGCTTTGACTAGACAGACCTTTGTTGGCAATGTCATGTCTCTGCTTTTTAACATGATCTCTAGGTTGGTCATAACTTTCCTTCCAAGGAGTAAGCATCTTTTAATTTCATGGCTGCAGTCACCATCTGCAGTGATTTTTGGAGCCCCCAAAAATAAAGTCTGCCACTGTTTCCACTGTTTACCCATCTATTTGCCATGAAGTGACGGGACTGGATGCCATGACCTTAGTTTTCTGAATGTTGAGCTTTAAGCCAACTTTTTCACTCGCCCCTTTCACTTTCATCAAGAGGCTCTTTAGCTCTTCTTCGCTTTCTGCCATGAGAGTGGTGTCATCTGCATATCTGAGGTTATTGATATTCCTCCCGGCAATCTTGATCCCAGCTTGTGCTTCATCCAGCCCAGCGTTTCTCATGATGTACTCTGCATATAAGTTAAATAAGCAGGGTGACAATATACAGCCTTGATGTACTCCTTTTCCTGTTTGCAACCAGTCTGTTGTTCCATGTCCAGATCTCACTGCTGCTTCTTGACCTGCATACAGATTTTTCAAGAGGCAGATCAGGTGGTCTGGTATTCCCATCTCTTTCAGAATTTTCCACAGTTTATTGTGATCCACACAGTCAGATGCTTTGGCGTAGTCAATAAAGCAGAAATAGATGTTTTTCTGGAACTCTTTCTTTTTCAATGATCCAACGGATGTTGGCAATTTGATCTCTGATTCCTCTGCCTTTTCTAAAACCAGCTTGAACATCTGGAAGTTCATGGTTTACATACTGTTGAAGCCTGGCTTGGAGAATTTTGAGCATTACTTTACTAAAGTGTGAGATGAATACAACTGTGTGGTAGTCTGAGCATTCTTTGGCATTACCTCTCTTTGGGACTGGAAGGAAAACTGACCTTTTCCAGTTCTGTGGCCACTGCTGCATTTTCCAAATTTGCTGGCATGTTGACTGCAGCACTTTCACAGCATCATCTTTTAGGATCTGAAATAGCTCAACAGGAATTCCATCACCTCCACTAGCTTTGTTCATAGTGATGCTTCCTAAGGCCCCACTTGACTTCACATTCCAGGATGTCTGACTCTAGGTGAGTGATCACACCATCGTGGTTATCTGGGTTGTGAATATCTTTTTTGGATAGTTCTTCTGTGTATTCTTGCCACCTCTTCTTAATATCTGCTGCTTCTGTGAGGTCCATACCATTTCTGTCCTTCACTGTGCCCATCTTTGCATGAAATGTTCCCTTGGTATCTCTAATTTTCCTGAAGAGATCGCTCATCTTTCCATTCTATTGTTCTCCTCTATTTCCAAACGATTAGTCCTCATTCACAAAAGACTAGATTTTTAAAAGTGCCACAGGGTAACTTAAAGTTTCAAGGATCTACTCCTTATCAGACCCTAAAGGAGACACTAGGGACAAGACACAGTGATGAACCCAACAAATGAGGTTTCTTCATCATTAAATTTACCTCTCAGAGAAGAAACAGGCATTAAATAGGTAAACACACAAACACAATCACAAATGTGTCACATGCCACAAATAAGAGCAACAAGGAAGAGGTTCGAAAAAGTATTTCTAGAATTAGAACAAAAATATCGTTGTTCCTTTTTGTAAAAGCAACATCCAAGGATAGGAGACAAAATCAAAGCACAATAGACTGATACATATATATGTTTCGAGGAAGAAGACTGCCATAAGATGACAGATTCGAGAACTTAGTCTGTGAACTGTCAAGAGAGAAAAGGCACTCTCTCAAAAGGTATGGTAAGGAAAGCTTCTTTATAAGATGGAGGGAAAATGCTGAATGTTGATTAGAGGGCTAATGCAAGAGAGGTCAAATTTTAAAGGGAGAGAACAGATGATTAGCTATGATGATTAATAATGCCAACATTTTATATCCAGGTATTAGGCTAAGTTCTTTACATGCAATTCCTTATTTCATCTTTTAATATCAGCACTAATGGGCCAACTCTGCATATGAGAAAACGAAACACAAAAAAGTTAGGTAATTTGAACAGATCACATGCAGACAGAACTAGGATTCAAACTGAGATCTTTATGAGTTCAAAGCAGTCTATACCACACTGTCTCATTGAAAAAATACGTTTTAAATCATCTCTTACATGCCAGTTAACTATGTACTGAGGATAAAAAGATGAATAACTCCTGGGGCACAGTCAGTCAGGACATGGTACTTACACAGGATGGTCTTTACCCTTAAAGAGAGGAGGGGGAGACAGATATGGAGCTCAAGTCACTGATACCAGGGGGAACAAGTAAGATGGCATAGCACAAAGACAGCAGCAGTATCTACCCCGTGCTAGTAATCAGTGAAGACTTCAGATGGTGCTTATGTTAAGCAGAACAGAGACAGAACAAAGTTAATGCCAAGTAAGACAAACAGATTACAGAAAAGAGGCAGAGAACTGCACGTATGTTGAGAAGACTTCAACAAGTCGAGCATGGCAGGAATGCGGTGCGAGCTGGAAGAGACCCGACCAAAGGGCCTTTCATACCACACTAAGGTATCTGAGGCTCAAAGCCACAGGAAGCAAAAAACCATTTCCAGGCTTTGGAACAAGACTGGCAACTGTAAAGACTCAGCAACTGACTAGGAGGTTCAAGCTGTAGCCTGGGGCACAGCTTAACAGACAACCAAAAGGTGAGAAGATCTGCAAAGATTCCCAAACTCACCTCTTATTATCAGACCAGAAAAAGGAAGGCTCTAGCCCCTTTTTAGAAAAATGTAGCCTTTATTCTAAGTGAAATGAGAGCACTCTTCAGTTATTACTATTAATCATGACAGAACTAAAATATGGTTTGGGCTTCCCAGATGGCTGGGAAAGAATCCACCTGCCAATACAGGAGACTCAGATTCAATCCCTGGGTGGGGAAGATTCCCTGGAAAAGGAAATGGTAACCCACTCCATATTCTTGTCTGGAGAATTCCAGTGACAGAGGAGCCTGGTGGGCTCAAGTCCATGGGGTCAAAAAGAGTTGGACACAACTTAGTGACTAAACAACAACAAAAATATGGTTTAGCCCAAACTTTGTGATTAGTAGGGAGGAGTCTGAAGGTTTGCTTCCTCAACACCCCAAATAGATTATCTGAGGCAGAATGTGGATTTGGGTGATTCATTTCTCCAAAAAAGCATATTGAACAGAGGCAGGATAGCCAGCTGTCTGCCTTGAAAGTAAAGAACAGAGTCTTCAGTTTCGGAAGGATACTCCCATCCTTGCTTCAGGGCTGAATCACATCAGTCTGCCATCTGGCAATGGTGAGGGAAGATGGATAATCTCTTTTTCTGCTCAGCATGCTGCTCTGATTCAGGAGTTGTGTATTTCCCACCAAGCAGATACGGAAAGCAGCAAAAGGATACACCCACTACCCTAGCATAATGCAAGCCATTATTCAGCTTCATCAATGAAAACAAATCAGAGAGAAATGAATTAGAACTTCAGATTTAACTTTCAAAACTAACCTCCAGGTACATTCCTCATTCTAAACAAAACAAACATCCTAGTCACCCTGAACAAGTCATTATGACTTTGTGTAAGACCATTATCTCAGACTGGAACGCATTTGCACTCCATGTTCGTATGATCAAATGAGCAGGCTCCCATCAAACCCCAACTTAAACATCACTCCTTCAATGCCACCCAAAAGACATGCTCACAGGACTTATTTCTCCATTCAAATGTTTATTAAATATTTCCAAGTATTATACTGAATAGTATACAGACCAATCCTTCCTAAAGAGAAATTTTAACAAACACTACTGAATGCTTAGAATATGACAGGTTTAGTGCTAAGTTCTAGAAATTTTTTAATCCAATAACAATACAATCTACTGCTTTTCAAAAACTGCCTTACTACAGTTAAAAAAAAAATACATAATAAATGTAGCATTTAGGGTAAATGGGTAAGGACAAAGAAAGAAATAATTAAGACCAGAATGAAAATCAATTTAATAGATGAAAGTCAATTCTACACACACTTTGCTTAAAACTGAAGAGGAGGGAACACCGTCTAATGTTATTTGGTAAGGTCGGCATTATACTAACACAAAGCCACAGACCAGTAACCACTGGGGTGTGTATCTTACCACACACACACACAGAATAGTCTTACTAAACTCAAAGCTAAAGCTGAAAGTGATAATGACTAGTCAGTAAGAAGATGAGTAAGGAATCCTTATTTCCAAGCTACCTACCATGCTGCTAGTTAATTAAATGTGAATTTTAAGCTTTTCACAAGCTGTTACCTGTGAGATATGATTGATGGAAGACTCCATTCTCCGGAGCTGAGAGGCTTGGATGTCCAGCAGTTGGAGCACATTGTTAGCCAATGCATTTATTTGATAAGCGACACTAGCTAGGGATTGAGTTGTATAGGCTTTGGTCTCTTCTAAAGCTTTTCTCTTGTCTGTAGCCTGAAATAAGAACAAAAAAGCCCAATATTTATTTTGGTTAGCATTCATTAAACATCTGTTCTATAGAAAGGCAGCATTAGAATTATACTTTTTTAATAGAAAAGCCCAATTGAATCAAAAGAACTTACCAGACCAATTTGATGAACCACAGAGCACGCCACCCTCAGACCCTAATAAAGGCAGGTGCCTCAAGTCCCGCTGGCTTACTCTCTGCCTGCACTGACCTCCCCATGTGTCCCCTCAAGGCAAGCTATGAACCTCCTCCAGGACCTGTGAGTAATAAATTTCTCCATTTCACTTTCCCTTACAGTCTTTTGTTGAACTTTGAGGTCACCATCCATGACACCCCAGGGCTCTACTTAACAAACGGTAACTTAACAACAAAAAAGATCACAACATCCACTAGTACAATGACATGGACTAAATCCATTCTACCTTACAATCCTGTTTACATCAATGAACATCAGAAATCCAAACAACCTGTTAACCATTACAACCAAGCTTCTCATCACCACAAAAACTACTGTAATCTTATGACCCCATCCTTTACCCATCCGTTTTCCCCAAACTCCAGTGCACAACTCACAGTCAGACAGTAAGAAATGTTCAGAGACCAATTTCAAAGCTAAGTTCAGAGAAAAATTCAAAGACAAGTAATAAACTCTGGGAGGGTGAGGGAGGGGATGGGTGGGGAGCAAGCAGGGTAGCCAGCAACTTATAATTAATATATAATCTAAATAATATATAATCTAAAAACAAAAAGGCCAGGGATAGAAAAAATGAAACAGATCTAAGAGTTCAAAAAAAAAAAAAGGCAATGCAACCACTCTTAACCATGTTTAATAACATTCAACCTTACTCGTCATAGAAAAGAAATGCAGATGCAAACTAATATGAGATAATATTCTCATCTATCCACCCAGCGAAAATCCAAAAGCAGGACAAGGTACTCTGCAAAGTTGCAGGGGAAGACTCTGATACACTCACTGCTGATGATATCCAGCAAAATTACATACAGGCTTATATTTTGTCCCAATAATCTCACTTTTAGGAATCTCAAAGAATCACCGGCAAAAATATATATGTAATTATTCACTACAGCACTATTTACAATAGGAAAAGACTAGAAACAACCAATACAACCACCAATGGAGGACTGGTCATACAAATTATGGGATCTCCAAACATTAGGGTGCTACACTGCAGTAAGAAGTAATGTTGAGAGATACTGTTATTACCACCACACCCAATCTCCAGAATACTGCTAAGGTGAAAAAGAAAAAAAATGTTTATAGAATGCTACCACTTATGAAATGAGCAAAGATACAAAAGTATATTTTTTTACTTTTTAAGAAAAAAGGATAAAACATAACACCTTTAAAAAATAACTGCATATGGGGCCACGGGTCAATAGGTTAGCAAGAATATGGATAAGATTTTTTAAACATACCTTGTTTTTTAGATTTGCTTTTTGCAACTATGCAAACAATTTACACAATTATAAAACAAAATTAAATTTTAAAAAGGAATTCCCCAAAATTATATGTCAAATTAATCAAATGGGCCTAACTGTGCATCCAATTAGTGGCTTAACCAGAGAGGAAATATCCTACAAGTGGCTTCAAAGCATAGTAATTTGATTGTACATTTCTAATGGGGTTTACCCTTAGGACAAAACAATTAAAAGAGGGAAGAAAAATACTGAATCTGTTTTCAGTTACTTTATTGCTGATGGTAGTTTTGGAATTATTACCTGGAGACTGCTGTTTGTGTGGTGTGGAATAAAGCAAGTCATTAAATATGTTCAGGTCACTGAGAGCTGAGATTTGGGGCATAATTCAAAAGACATTCTGATATAAGAAGAAAAAACCGGTAGTTCTGCATTTAAGCTGAAAACATTAATCTGAACTTAATTATTATTGTATCACATTTATCAATATCTAACCAAAAAAAGCCTAAATGGTGACTGTAGTTGGTAACACTGTACTGTAAAATTGGAATTTGCTAAGGACAAACCTGACATGGCCTCAGCAAGGAGGCAGGGGAAGGGTAATACACACATGAAGTGATGCGTGTGTTAAGTACTGTCAATAGCAGATACAGGTGCCACTTCCAGGCCTAGACATAAAAGCTTCCCACTCATGTTTGGATGCAATGGTTAAAATAAAATGCAGTCCTACCAAGAAAACTGGTATGATGATTGGTATGATGGCATCACCAACTGGATGGACATGAGTTTGAGCAAGCTCCGGGAGTTGGTGATGGACAGGGAGGCCTGGCGTGCTGCAGTTCATGGGGTCGAAAAGAGTTGGACACGACTGAGCAACTGAACTGAATCAAAAAAATTAAGCTGTATTTAACAGAAACCATTGTACACGGCTTCCATTTTTAAATTTAAAATACTTAAAATTAAATAAAATTTTAAAATTCATATTCTCAAACTAGCCACATTTTAAAGAGTTCAATAGTCATATATGGATTGTGGCCTTACTGGATAGAGTGCAATTCTAATCACAGTTAATTTCCTCTCTAAACCATGGATTTAAAAGTTAAGCCTGCACAAGAATTACTGTTTTCACTTATTTCACTTAAGTTTAGTATCCAATAGTTGGTCTCCCTCATTCTTTGATACTTTTGCTGTATTAACTACCAAGCAGCCTTAATACGTCCAAAGGATCACACAAAATGGATTATAAACCAGAAGACTTCTCCACAGAGCTATAACAGACATCGTTAATCAATTACAACAGTCTTCCTACAAAAGTCTAAACACTCTTAACTAGTCACTCTAGGAGCTGACATGTGATTGTAACCAATCTGCCATCCCTGTCTTATGCCACTGACGAAGTTTGCTTAAAATGGAAATAAACATGTGGCTTTAAAAGAAAAGTAATTATTTAAAAGAGCTAAACTCGAAATAAATAATGTAGCCCAAGAACTTAACAGGAAATTCCTTAGATAACTGAATTTTCTCAACAGCCCATATATAAAACTATCTTCTTCCTCCCGTATCCACCTGTGGAAACCAAGTTTTACTGAGTTAAGATCTGCTTGCTGGAGGAAAGAACATTTTCAAGCAGTACCTACTCCTATTACATCCTTTTCTTGCCCCTCAAGGTGACTACACAGGCAATCTCTTATTTTTCACGGTTTAAAATGGAAATGACGATGCCATAAGCAATCTCTCTCATACCCATACATTTATCTTTATCCCCACCGCCTTGCCCTCATTCTCAACTTCCATCTGTAACCAGAAGAAAAACCTCTCTCCCTCTATTACAACTAAGTACTTGAAGCCCAAAAGACACAAGAACAGCCTGCCATAAGTTTGCTTAAAAAGTATACATTCTAGGTGAAAACAAATTACATGGTTTAATTTTTGCCTTTTCTTAAACAGAGAGAGAAATTTACAAAATTAATGCATTGTCATGGAAATGGACCTTACTAACATTTTAGTATAAGTTCTTCAAGTCTCTCAAGTACATCTGTTTAATCTTACAAGAATGTAAAGCTAACCCTGCTTTTTTCATTTAAAAATGTATAATGAGCATTTCCCCATGTGATATTCTTCTATTCCTATTCTTTTTCAAAAACTACATAATAATGGCAGTAACTGTTAGCTGAAAGTTCTCCTTTTAATTCCTCTAATGTTAAGACCTTGATTTTAATCAGGACATCAACGTGTGCAGATTCAAATCCAACTTCCTCTAAATAACCAAACAAGAGGTGGCATTATTTCCAAACATTAACCTCTAAGCCAACGTTAAGAACACCATTTCTAAGTTAGGGCCCGACTACTGATAAGACCTGGCACATGTCCTATAGCGCTAGCCTGTCTAATAACATTCCAGAAAAATAGTTTAAGTTAAATTACAGTGTTCTTTTTCTCACTCACCTGAACCCTTCCCTAAAGTCTGACAGGAAGATCAGAAAATTATGTCTGCTCTGAGGAACATTCTTTCTCCATGTCTTAACTGCAAGACATAGGGCTTCCCTTGTGGCTCAGTTGGTAATTCACCTGCAATGTGGACCTGGGTTCAATCCCTGGGTTGGCAAGATCCCCTGAAGAAGGGAAAGGCTACCCACTCCAGTATTCTGGCCTGGAGAATTCCACGGACTGTATGTGTATAGCCCGCAAGGTTGCAAAGAACCAACACGACTGAGCGACTTGCACTTTTAACTGCAAGGGGTTTAATGATCCTGCTCAGGTAACAAAACAGGGGTCTCACGCATTAAAAAAAAAAAAAAAAAAAAAGGTTTCTCCATTTTGCTTCTGTCTTTACTTTTCCTCCCACTCTTTGTAGAAATGACACCACATCATATCTTTTTAACAACTTTTAGCTTAACTCTAATTCAAACTTGCCAGAAACTTTTCCAAAGTAAGTTATTTTTCCCACAGAATATTTCAAATATTTAAATAAGGTTTTTCCAATTATATTAATAGAATGAAAGCAATTTCATGGTAATTCATTAAAAAATTACCCACATCTAGCAAAACACACCATATTTCAATGACTCCAAAAAAACAGCTATGTCAGATGCACCATTTTAATGTATCACTCAGTGAAAAACCGGCCAATGCCATTATGTCAGAATGCTTTCTTATGAAGAAATTTTATTTTATACTTAACAGAAAATACTCTTTGGGATTTATTTAGATGGTGAGCTTTATATGTCACTCTTAATTATACAGTAATACCAGCTATAGATTCATTTTCAGATTTATCCAACTTCCAAAAGAAACCCTTTATATCTTTTATTTTGTATGATTCAAGATCCAACCAAACACGCTCACAACTCTTGACAGTCATGTCTGTTCATTTTTTAAATCTAGAAAATCCCCTTCAACCCTGACCTTTTTTTTTTTTCCTTTCAAAACACAGAGTTTGTTTTAAAATTCCAGGCCAGTTGTCTTATAGGAAGTCCTACAATCTGGATTTGTCTGATTGTTTCCTCATGATTAGATTCAGATTAAGCAGAGTGGCTAGAATAATAACAGG